TTTTCTTCATCAACACATTCATCACAATTTTCACTTTTATTGACTAATGCTGAAGCCACAAACAACGCATTGTTTTGGTTTTTATAGTTTATAGCGTTTAAGAGTATATATTAAGCTTCGTGAACAATTTTTTCTTACCAACGTTCAAATTTGGATAACAAAACTCTTGTAAACCCTACAATTTTCTAAGAAAAATCAAGAAAGACAGTTAAGTATATTGAGCAACATAGTTCAAACAACATATATATGATTAAGTATGTATGGTTAATAATTTATAAAATTTATTATGATAATACTTTAATACTATTTATGTCAATAATACAATTATAATATACATTTACATTTAATTATTTATTAATATAGTTATTTATATTAATTATTGCTAAACAATGCTTTCTACTTATACATAGATGTGTGTAAGTAAACAAAAGTCTTGCTAGGCTAACAAAAAATGACATGAAAACCAAGTGGTAAACATTAATTTTGTTGGTTCAAGTATCAAAATGAATTCAGAAAAATGTGTGTTAACTTATATACATTTTCATTTTAGAAAAATTTAGGGACATTTAAAAAAATGTCACTTTTTGTGTCCACATTTGCAAAAATGTCACTTTTAGTGTCCATTTGCAAAAATGCCACTAATTATGATTTTTTAGAACCTAAATCTTAAAATTCTAAACCCTAAAAAATGTTTTGACCCCTAAATCCCCCTAACCCTCATAACTAAACCCTAATAGAACATAATTAATCCAAACTTAAATAATATAAAGAAAAAATAATTTTGAAAAAGTGACATTTTTGTAAAGATTTCAAAAATGTGGTATTTTTGTAAAGTGGCACTTGAAAAGTGGCATTTTTGAAATTTCTCAAAAATTTAACCATCAAAAAGAGTAACATTTCAATAAATATATATACAAAAAACATATTTGTAATTATAACCAAAACGGATGCTTTTTTGTGTTAATTTAAATGTTCATAACATGCTTTGTTCTAAAAACAACAAACCACATTTTGTAGTTTCCATTACTTATTATCAAGCATATGTTAATGCCATTAGTTTTGATATTTTAATGTGTAAAAAATGATCAAAACATACACATATGTTATTTATTTCAAAATATTTTTAAGTGTAAATATCTCATTATATCTTAAGTTTTATAAAAAATATTCAAAACTTTAAGCC